TCACACATCCTGCCATTTTCTTCCACACCTGTTTAGCTCAGTTTTGTAGTGCAACAAAATATCAGTGTGGTCAAAAGCATCTGAAGTTTTGTTTTCAAACACTTGAAGTAAATGAAAACACACTTATGTAGCAGAGCTCAATGCTTGCACCTGTTGTTTATCATGCCCTTTTTTTTTTCCTTCTCCCCAGAGCTAGTGTTGGGCACCAGTGTATATTATTTTTGATTGTGTTTTGTTTTGGTTTTTTTGTTGCAGCTGCTCTGAGGTTTGCGAGGGCCCTAAAAACATTTCTTCTTTGGAAGCTTGAGCTAGTACTTGGCTTGACAGCAAAGCATCGTTCCACAAGCATTGACCACTGTGGTTCTGATTGGTGATCTCTGCATGATCTGTCTTACCCTGGGATGCTAGAACAATTTTTATAGTGGGGGTGCTGATGATGGAAACCCTGGTTTCCATGTATTTGGTGTTTATTACTTCAAGCTAGAGGGGCACCCCCAGCACCCTTATTGCCGCATCACTAGCAAAAGTCCCTAGCATGGTTATAGCAGCAAAACTGTTCTTTTGCCAGGAATACAGAATACTGGTATAGCGTGTGGATTTACATGCATGCCATTTGCAGTTGTAAGCAAAGGCCATCGGGTTAGAATTGGCCAAAATTTTTAATGTGATGTGATTTTTTAATGCTAAAAATGTCTTTCCATTTTGACCCAAAAAAAAGTCGTGTGTGATGATTTTTTTCAGGTTTTTGCTCAAATGCTAAACCTATTTAGTTTTTAGCAACCACAAACTAATTTGGGAGTGGAGGGGCAGCAGCATGGTATTTTCAGGCTTTCAACAAAAACGGAAACTTTTTGAAGAAAACAACACAACCACCACTCACAAATTTCTTTGCAAGAACAAACCCATCCCTACATGCTCTACTTCTGCCTTAAAATGAGCATGAAGATTGTGTTGGAAAAAGTGATCTGAAGCCCTGAGTGCAGTGTTGGAGGTGCTTCCGCTATATTGAATGAGTCTTTAAACCATCTCTTGCCATAGTATCTCTGTTGAAATCTGGGGAGCACTGTACTGCGTGTACCTCCACAGAGCTGAACCTGGAAGACCTCTCTTCCTATCTAATTTTCCCTCTCACCCACAAGGGCAAATGACTGCCAAGGATGAACACTGTTGCTTTGCTTTTAATCCTGCTAGTGCCGTTTCTATAATTGTGTGCGCATAAATTCCTGCGCCTCTGGGGGAAGGGAGGGTGGTAACGCACCTTCTTGGGCAGAGATTTTGTTAGTCCCTCAACCTTGTGGACTATTTAAAAACTCCAGTCAGAGGTGCCATTTGCCTAGTGATCTCCCTGGCACACTGTTGTTTCTCTTGGCACTTAGCAGCAACTGCAATGTGCGAATGACATACTAATACTATTCTACACCCAAACCCACTCAATTCTGAGGAAGGCCAGGTCTACAGTGAGAATGCTTGGCTAACAGAGCTATACCAGTATTCTGTATTCCTGGCAAAAGAACAGTTTTGCTGCTATAACCATGTTTATGCTAGGGGCTTTTGCTAGCCTAGCTACATTGATCAGGGATCATGCCCCTGATTGATGTAGCTATGCTGGCAGAAGTTGGTAGCATAGACTGAAAGTCTTGGGCCAGGTCTATCTCTACTTACTTCAGACTGTATGGAGCCTTTGAGCATCAAATAAACCAACATATAGGAGACATGAACACAAGTGAAGTGACTTGATTTCAAAAACTCAAATGATTCCCTGGTAATCAGTGGTGCAAGCAGAAATCATTTCTTGCTGGCACGCTGCACTATGGTGACCAGACAGCAAGTGTGAAAAATCAGGATGGGGGTGAGGGGGTAATAGGAGCTTATATAAGAAAAAGACCCAAAAATCGGAACTGTCCCTATAAAATCGGGACATCTGGTCACCCTACGCTGCACTCATGGGAGGGATACGAAGGCGAGGCACATGACCTCCCTACATGACTTTTCCCTGTCCC